ACTTGTAGATAGATCTACCTAACAATGTCTGGGCGGCTAATTCCCACCTTCTTTCATTTATTTGTAACTAGAATAGTTACTTAGTATTGCTTGGGTCCTTAAGACAAATAAGTTTTCTTTTTCTTCATTTAACCCATTGTTCTGGGGTGAGGCTGGGGGTGAGGGGTTCAGGATGCAGGCTGCCCCATGGAGAGAGGACAACCCCAGCTCTCTCTCTGCAGCACCTTGGACCTGATGAGAAGTGGTTGTCCATGGTTGCTGCAGTTGCAGCATGCACAGCTGGGGGAGGAGTGCATGTCCCCCAACTCTGACCCAGACACACACAAACAAACAAACTCTTTGAAATATTTAGTAGACAGCTGTCCCATTCTCCATCCCTGCCCCATGCTGGCCCAGTGAGGTTATAGGTATCCTGGTCTCCATCTCTGGCCCCCTTGCTGCCCACTGTGCTCCTTTTACAGTATGGGTTTTCAAATTCTGGGTTGCAGCTTATAAGGGCAAGCTACTAGATGGCCACAAGATGCTTTGCTTACCTGTGCCTCTGCATGTATAGGAGATCATTGCTTCCATTGGCCACAGATTGCTGTTCCTGGCCAATGGGAGCTGTAGGAAGTGGTGCCCTGCTTTGCACTGCTTCCTACTGCTCCCGTTAACCAGGAACAGTGATCAATGGCCAATGGCAGCTGCGATTGCCCGTACCTGCAGAAGTGCAGGTAAACGTAGCATCTCGTGGCAACTAGCAGCTTGCCCTTACAAGCCACAATCCAGAGTTTGAAAACCCCTGTTCTACAGTATAACTCCCTCATACCAAACCCCTACCTTTCCATTTTATGAGAAACAATTGAATTCCAGGCCCATTCCATTGTCTTGGCACAACCAAACGCTTATCTTGCTTTAAGTTATGGTGAGAGGAAGTTGCATACCAAATTTGTATGTTAGGAAAATGTTAGCGGGTAGCCATTTTACACGATTAACGGATAAGCCTGGGCTCAATGGTTAATCCTAACAGTTACACACACATACACACCCCTTGCTGCCTCTGTATCAGATATAGCATGGGGCAGGGGGAGAGGTCCCTGCTGGCTCAGGGCAGCAACCAGCAGTTGGACAGTATGGCCCTCGCCGTCCTGGCTCAGGGCAGCCATCTGCAGCCGAGGAGTGTGGCCCCTTGCCCTGACTCCTGCACCCTCTTGCCCTGCCCTGTGCTTCCCCATCTCCTGTCCTGACTGCTGCACCTCCACCCCAGTGCCTCTCCTGACCCCCAACCCTGACTCCCACACTCCCAGCCCTGAAGGACCTGAGCAATGCTGGGTAAATCTTTTAGTTTAGCTGAAAGCAAACTCGGTCCAGTGGCAGAATGGTCCTTAACTGAATTTTTGGCAAAGATTATATGGAAGGATTATTATTAGTTCTTTTAATTAACTTGCAGTTTTATTGGCAGTGCCACCGGTAGTATAATACATACTTAAACCAAATGAGTGTAGAAATACAGACTTAGTGAACGTTAAGAATCTGATTCTGCAGTACTCAGTCCATGTGGAGTACTGTATTTATATGCTGTCATGGTCCTTTTGCGGTTATTGTTAGTAATCAGTCCTAAGTTTGCATAACTGAAATCGTAAAAAATTAAGGTTTTGACAGCAATGCCAACTTGCTGTATATCATTGATATTTCATGGCTGACATTTAATGACATAAATGGTAATATGTTAAGCTGCACGTTAATTAGAAAAATCAGTTATGGAACTTGAGTCTCTGGTGAACATTAGGGAAATAAAATCCCTTTAATTGGTTGATTGGTTAAACATTATGTTTAACCAGTTAACCCATTAAAAGGGTATGGAGGTCCCCCCACCACAGGAAGGGGTAGTTCCAGCCTGACCCTGTCCGTGGTGGGCTTGGGTATCCTACAGGCAGGAGCTGCTTGGTGATCCATAGCAGCCCCTGTCTGTGGGGCACCCAGGTTCACCACAGACAGGTGCTCCTGGGTCTGTAGTGGACAGGGGATCCTCCAAACATCCCGAGTAGCCCTTGTCTACAGCGGCTTCCACCCCGGGGCTAGAACAGGTCCTGCCTGTGGAAAGCGGGAACTGCTCCAGCCCCCACTGGTTAACCAGAACCAGTAAGCATCACCTGCTAATGGTGATGCTTACCAGTTAACATTTCACATCCCTAGTTACATCCACTTGTTGCTCCCATTGACTCAACTTTCAAAACCAGACTATTCTGTAGGTGACTAAAACCTTACTGTTAGTACTCAGATTTGAAAGTTTTGGTTGTGGCCATTACACATTAAGGGAGAGCGTTCAATAAATAGGTAAATCATCCTCAGAAAAAAAATCAAGAACTCACTTAATCTCCATTTTCATAGAAAGCATTTTGTTAATCTTGATTGTTTCCTCAGCCAATATAAACATCATTATTAATTTAAAATCCTATTGTTCTGGGAGGAAGGGGGTTTGATCATCAGCAAAAGTACTAAAATAGACTCCAGAATGAGCACAGCTGCAGAAACAATTCTATTTCCCAACATAAGCGCACATTGATTTTTTGTTGTTGAAGTTCCTTTTATTTTTTTTAAAGTAGAATAAATAACAGTCCAATGACTGCTGATATGTAAAAAGAGATGATCAATCTGTAATGATGCTCTCATGAATCCATCACAGTTTATCCAGTCAACATACAATTTGAGTACCGTATATTCCGGCGTACAAGACGACCTCTGAAGTTAAAAAACACCCCCCAAAAATCGGGGGTCGTCTTGTACGCCGGATGCCCCGCCGCCGGAGCCCCTCCGCGGCTTTGAAAGCCTCGGGGGAAGCCGGCGGGGGGGCATCCCAGGCGCGCATGGGCTGCCCCCCCCCCCCGGGGCCCC